ACTCAATGGCTGTGCTCAACAAGTGCAGTAAGTAAGTTAACAGAAAAGACGAAACTATGAGCGGTTCAAATCATAGATCGGTGTATGCATTAAAAAGAATATCAAAATGTTACATAAGTTAGAGGTTACTAACAAATCAAAGCGAATATCACACATTTTATGGTGGAGCTAAAATTGACATTACCAAGATACTCTTAGGAATAGCATGAAGACTATGTCCACGAGACACTCATCCCAATCATCTTGTCTCCAAATTAGAAACGATGGCCATGTGAATGAATCAAAACTGTTAGAAACTTATCTTTTCGCTCAAAACTAGTTGCAGAAAGAGAACTTGTGGCACTTAATGTAGGATTGTTTTGAACTTGTGGAGTTTAACATCTTTTGTGATATGAGCAACTTCTTCCGTGACCTGAATGGGTTGTCCTTCGCTTAAGCTAAGCCTTTAACCAGCCCAAAAGTTATGGGAGCATCTGTCAGGCCCAAATTAAGACCGTACATTCTAATTCTTTAGCACCGAAAGGATAATGTTAAACAACCTTTGCTACATTCCAATATCTGTTTTTTATTGCCTCACTCCTAGTCATGCATGACCAGGCTACCCTTGAATGTGGCGGTTTAGACCGTTAGCTAATGTGAAGTCTTGTGATTAAACAAATATATTTTAAAACGAAATTTAGCTTTTATATCAAGTGCTTCATTATATAGCAGCTGGATCTGTTTTTTCCCCCCGCATTCCCTCTAGTTGTAGGTTCAATGCGGCCAATTGCTGCTTTATCTAAAAAGCAAGAAACTCTGATCAGCTCCAACAATATTCTTTATGTTTTTTGGTACTTTTAAGGAAGTTGCTTTTGGATCAATTAGTGTAAACATCTGCCCAACATCACACGCATGGTCTTTTTTCTCAGAGAAACCCCTAGAGGCTATATAGCATTCATCCTTTTCTCTTCTCTTTTCCGGGAATTTCTAGAGAGGACTTTGGATTTTATAATAAATCCCTCCTACAACTAGGATTTCCATTTTGCGGGATCCCAGAGGTTGCACTTGTCTTTGTGTGCCATGAAATAAGTGATCATTAATCACAATTAACAGGGGATTTGAGAGCACATCTTTAGCATTATTAAACCAAATACTTAATTCTTTTGTTTCAAGACAAAAAGTGTTGCATAAGGCGCATCTGCTAGTCAGCTGTCGCCTCCATCCAAGATGTCAAAAACCCGCGCAGGACAACATTTTCACTTTTAAATATTACTGGCTACTCTCCCCATCGAATACTTAAAAAGCTGTCGTATCCAGCCCACACCCAATACCGAGGGAAGGGGACGATAGCTCTTTTGTCTTGTTTTTTCAGCCGTTGTGGTTTGATTGGAAGGTTCCCCGTGTCCTCACCCTATTAACTCTTCATGCCCAATTTCAGGCGTTTCTTCTGGAAAAATTAGATATATACTTAAATTGTCTTTTAAGTATATGTTTTTATTTTGTAAAACCAATGTCAACCACATGGCAAATGATTAAATACGATTTTTGGGTTATGATGATAGTTTGAAATATGTTATTGACACAGAATCTTCATTGACTTAAAAAACAAGTAATAATCTGTAATGGTAGTAAATTAATTACTGTGACAACTAATGATCAACATCAAGTTGGGCAATTAGATGCTTCTTTTTATGTTACCTTAAACAAATGATCAAATGTTTCTCCCTTTTTCTTTTTCCTGTTTTTAAAGAGAGGCTACGCAATCCAAGTTGCAATCAAAGAAAGGACAAGCATTGGGCTTTAAACCAAGTAAGATATCCAATTTTCAAATAAAAAAATTTCTGCCCTACTTCGATGGCAATGCCAGTCAAATGATGGTTAAGTCCTTCAATCGAGATGGAAAATTCAAGAAATGAGAATTTAAATAATTAATTAAATAAAGATCTTTGGAGTGAACAGTCTGTCTATTCTTTGCATAAAATCTGCAATGGTGCTTGGGAGGAAGTAAAATCTCTAAAAAGGTCATTATGTGGAAAGAAATTTTGTGATATGGAAAGGTCAATTATTCAAAGCAAGTGAATCCTCATCGTATCAATACCTACAAGGAAGTGAATCTTCACTAAAGTTGCCTTAAGATCTGAGCTTTGATTTGGTCCATTTTTTACTATTTCTTTGACTGTCATTTGACTAATCAACTTACCATATCAAACCGAATATGGTTCAGAACCATTTAAATTTCTCCCTACCAAGAAAATAAAATGAAGAAAAAAAAAGAAACTGTAAAAACTAATTAAGGAGTTACCATTATTATAATAAATTTGGGATGACCGGATGGGGGGTTAACAAAATAATGAAACTGTAACAAACAAAAAGAAAGGAATTTTAGAAATGAAAAGCTAGCATAATTGCCATCCTATTATTACAACCAAATATTAATTGTTTGTCCAAAGAAAAAGAAAACTAATATTACCTTTTTATTTTTTCTGATATGAAGAATGGGGATTTGGAATGGAACTGCTTGAAATGCTTGGGTGCTGTTTAATATAATTACATAATGTTCAAGGTTAACTTATCCTAACAAATCCCAATTAGCAAAAAATTGGGAGTTAAAATGTGGCTTAATATACATAATAATATAGATTTTGATAGTGGTAGAAGTTGGAGTATTCAATGACCTTTGAAAGAGAAAGCGATCTTGGAAGTATTATCCAAATGAAATAATGGGTAATGCTGTGTTCATACAAATCTCTGTGAGAAATCAACTCTGAACTGATGTATAATTAAAAAAGAAAAGTTCATTTCACGAACAAATATTATACTTGTAGCATTATTATTCATTGGATAAACAAAGGGCAATCACCAACAAAGTGGTTCTGTAGATGTATCAGTCTTTTCTGTTAGGAAAATGACCTCCATGAGTGCAATGAAAGTTGTGCAAGCAAACATGTGTGTTGATCTCCATGCTTTTTATTGCTAATGCACGTTCGTTTGATTTGTAAGAAATTTCATATGTTAACTGCACAGGCTTCTTCTTTAAGCTAGATAAATAAACTTCTAATTGTAACTAAACTTGATAATTTTACTTTAAAAGATTCTTTTGGAGCTAAATTTCAAATATGCCGGCACAAATAAAGAAGTTAGGATCGATGTTATTGTACTAAAGTTCTTATGTTCCGATTACCAATGTTGAGCACGGGTGGTATCTTGTAATTAAATTACATACTGTCACATTTCACATAAGTTTCAGTCATCACTAACTGATTCTAATTCGGATTCATCTCCTCTTTATTTTTACCATACCATTGGCTATGGAAAGGGGAAAAAAGGATGAAAAATTTGACAGTGGATAGGATCCAAAGCCACGTTTTCCACCCCATGATATAAGGTGGGAGTAGTGTTAAGTGGGCTAACTTTCTGCTCTGATTTTCCATCCATTAAAATGAATTTTCTGATCAGCAAGACTTAACCGCAATCCCTAAACCCCAAATATCAATTAATTCTGGATGCAGTGAATTGATTCGTCAATTGATCATTATGATCCAAGTTTCCATTATTGTTTAGAGCATTAAAACTTGACAAAAGAAGAGGAATACGAAGCATCCATATCTAGAAACAAATGGAAAAATGATGATTCAATGGGGCCATTGCTTTTGCTTGCCTGAAACAAAATTCGGCCAACTCAGCAGAAAAAAGTTATGACTGTTTCCAGAATGGCAAAAGTGAATGGGAACAAAGAATTCCAGGAGCGAGGTGGTGGCCTGGTGGGAGTGGTGCGGGAGATCACCAAAGGGAGTGGATTAAGGAAGGGGAAAGGGAGAAAAAGGGACCTTTGAGTAATCAGAAAAACGGCCTGGGGCCCATTGTGGAGTTAGGTGGGGCCTCGGGCCTTGCATGTGAGGCTGACGCTTTCTCAGGAAAATCTGAACGTTATAGTTGAGGAAAGGGAAACAAAATCCTCATTTAATAATGGTGAAAATGAAGCGCGAGACGCCCGAAACTTATGCCCTTGTTTGTTGCCTTGACTAGCGACTACGGCCTGTGTCGCTCTCACATTTCCTCATGCCACCGGCTGCTGCCGGTCAAAGATTAGAGGGTATAGCTAAATGTTTTCCTTCTCCACTTCAAATTATATGTTAGTAATTACTTCATAAAATTGTTTTTCCTTCGCTGGGGCCAAAAAAATTTCTAGCAGTATTTAGGTAATTTATTTACATTTTTTTAGGTGTTTATGTTTTTTAATTTAATAAAAATTTATAAATTTTTTAAAATTCACATTATTATAAAAAAAATTCATATCAATACCATATCAATATAAATAAATCATGTCAATATAAATAAAAAAAATTTAATAACCATAATTATTTGATTGATATTATCAATTTTAATAAATATAAAAATTTAATTTTCATAAATTATTATATAAAAATCAAATTAATATTTTAACAAAATATATGAATTAATTATATAATTTAACTTAAATTTTTCATAGAAAACTTAAATGTTAGATTAAAATAGTTAAGACCGTCAATCAGTTATGGGGTTTGATCATTACATTCACGTGTCATGTGTGATGTATCTAATTCTGATAAAAACGGTTTAAAAATTATTATACAACTTAACAGGTAAAATAATTCTCCCCACTCCCGAATCCTAAATACATTGCTCAATAAAAAGAGAGAGAGAGAAAAAAAACCCTGACAATGAAATTGCCAGACACGTCAATAATGTTTGACAAACCGGTTAAGGGTGTAACCGGTGGTAAGGGACTGACAAAATTTTTCTATGATAGGAGAGGGTGCTATAGGGCAACCCTGTATGCTTGCTGTTTTCCCACTACATTCATTTTTCCATACATAAATATGTAAAGAGCCGCTCTTTCTCTTTCTCTACCTTGTCTTCTTTCGTTTTCTCTCTTAATTCTAGTATGTAAATCACATAAATATTCCTTCTTGATTTGCTTCCTTCTTTCATTTCTCTCAAATCCAATTCCTTTGCAACAAAGAAAAGAAATTTTATGTGACATGGCTCTGCTTCGGGTGTCTCTGTTTCTTTTGATTCTCATTGCTCTGCTTTCAAGTCTCTGTTTTGCTGAAGACCCTTATGTCGTCTATGATTTCAAACTCTCTTACATCACCGTCTCCCCTCTTGGTGTTCCTCAACAGGTTAGTTTTCTCAAAACTCCCTGTCTCTCTCTTTACTCTGTTTCTTTAGTATAGACCTTTTTTTTTTTTGGGTTCTGTTTGTGGCCCTCTTAGTTTTCATTTTATTTCTTTGGATCCAAAAGGCATGTTGTTTTTCAAGGCTAATATTCTCAACATATAATGGAATTTGGAATTCATTTTTGTACAGTTAAGGGGTGGTAAATACTGGGGTTCAAATTTTTTTGGAAGTACATCAGAGGGTCTATGATCGTTACTTTATAGGTCATTTAATTTTTTGTGAATCTGCAAGTGCTATTAGTGTTAATCAACTGTTGATGATTTTCAAGTATTATCATTTTTGTGTTCTTTTACCTCTTTATCATGTATGTTTTTGTAGGGTATTCTCGTTCTGTATTAGCTTTTTGAACGTAAGTTTAATCCTTGGTGATGGTTCAACTGTTATAGTATATGGCTTTGGACCAGAGGCCTTGTCTATGTGTTTAGAACTAATATTTTCTGGGCATTTGTATTAAATGTTCTTAGGGGCCATTTTAGTTTTGGTTGAATCAAAAGTTTAGCTTTGTGCGATAAATTTCTTCGTTTTCTTCTATAAACTTCATTCTTTCAGTCCTCATATGATGTTTGAAATATTGGTGAACTCATTCGAGTGGTATGGCAAAGAGGGTGGTAATTTGAGTTTGGTGTAGCGTCATAAATAATTTTCGGAATTTTTTCTATTGTCTTTTGGAATTTGTACTATCAATAAGGGACTTATGTTCCAAAATTTTTTCAAATCAGAAACTGGGATATGGAAATGCCGAGTGGGTAAAAGTTCAATTCACTTTACTTATTTGTAGTTCTTTGGTTTGCAGGTTATAGCAGTCAATGGGGCATTTCCTGGTCCTGTTGTGAATGCCACAACCAATTATAATGTGGCCATAAATGTTCACAATCAATTGGATGAAAATCTTTTGATGACTTGGTCGGTTTGTATATAAAATTTTTGTTCTTCTTCCTTTTCAATATTATTTGTTGAAAGCGATTTTGTGAAATTTTTATGGTTTTTACAGGTCAGGAATTCAAATGCGGCGAAATTCATGGCAGGATGGTGTTCTTGGTACAAATTGTCCAATTCATCCCAAAAGGAATTTTACTTACCAATTTCAAGTTAAGGATCAGATTGGGAGCTTTTTCTACTTCCCCTCACTAAATTTTCAGAGAGCATCTGGTGGCTTTGGTCCTATTATTATTAATAACAGGAACATTATTGCAATTCCTTTCGGCCAACCGGATGGTGATGCTGTCGTCATGATTGGTGACTGGTATACCCGAAACCACACGGTTAGTATCTGATGAACATGGGCAGTGAAGTTCTTTTTTGCAGTTGGAATTTAATAATTGATACATTCTTCTCTTAGGCACTGAGAACAACTCTTGACTCTGGTGAAGATCTTGGGATGCCAGATGGAGTACTCATTAATGGGAGGGGACCTTACAGATATAACACTACTCTTGTAGCTGACGGTATTGAATATGAAACGATTAATGTTGATCCAGGTATAATTTTCTTTGGCATTGATGTTAAAATATTTCATGATATGTGATCTTTTGCACTGTTCAAACAAGTTTGCTTTGTTTTTCTTATCATTTGGATAAATCGTACCATACATTAGAGTCTAATTTTCAAACTTCTATTCTAACCTTCAGGCTTATTAAAATTGAATGATCTTGCCATTTTGCTTTGGCATTTCTTGAGCTCCATAAACTTTTTTCATAAATTACACACCCTTAAGCTACAAATTTCACGTCTACATTTAGTTGTTGATAATGTTTAATGCAACATCAGTAGTCATAGATACAGGTTTTTGCTGTATGAAGTCTTAATCTGCAATGTAATTATGTTTTGCAGGCAAAACTTATCGCTTTCGTGTACATAATGTTGGGATATCTACTAGTTTGAACTTTAGAATTCAGGGCCATAATCTGCTCTTAGTGGAAACTGAGGGATATTATACAACACAACAGAATTTCTCTAGCTTTGATATCCATGTGGGACAGTCATATTCCTTTTTAGTCACCATGGATCAGAATGCAACTACTGATTACTACATTGTGGCAAGTGCTAGGTTTGTGAATGAATCAGTTTGGGAAAGAGTTACAGGTGTGGCCATCTTGCATTATTCCAACTCAAAAGGACCTGCAACCGGTCCTCTGCCTGTTCCACCAAGTGATATTTACAACCAATGGTCAGCAATGAACCAGCCAAGGGCCATCAGGTTTATGCTCAAATATTGAAAGCTTAAGTATATTATAGCTATTCGTTCTTTCTTTTTCTTAAGAAACTTGCAACCGGCTCTTTTTCCCTTTAGTATGGCTGTGTAAAATATTTCTTTAGTTTGGCAGAAAACTTCCCTGAATCGATGCATTTTAAACTGTCTTCTGATGATTAGGCAAAATACAACTGCAAGTGGAGCTCGCCCAAATCCACAAGGCTCTTTTCACTATGGTTCAATCAATGTGACTGACACATATGTATTACAGAGCTTCCCTCCAGTTACCATTGACGGCAAGCTTCGTGCTACACTAAATGGTATATCTTTTGTCAACCCTGATACACCAATCAGGCTGGCTGACCTGCACAATGTAAAGGGAGCTTATAAGCTGGATTTCCCCAATAAGCCGCTTAATAGGACTCCCCGGGTGGACAGATCTGTAATTAATGCTACATACAAAGGGTTTGTAGAGGTTATTTTGCAGAATAATGACACCAGAATGCAGAGCTTTCACATGGATGGCTATGCATTTTTTGTGGTTGGGTAAGAATCTTATACATATGTGTCAAATTCTGAACAAATTCTTGACTGCTGTTGATTTGTGGTGTTTTAAACAATTTTATGGGTGTTTTGATGCAGAATGGATTTTGGAATGTGGACTGAAAACAGCAGAAACAATTATAATAAATGGGATGCTATTTCTCGCTGCACAACAGAGGTATGTTTTTCTAACAAAAACACTTCAACCTTGTATGCTACAATGGCAAGTGCCTTATTTGTCTTTTTAGCCTTTGGAGATTTGATTTTGTAGCATTAAAAAAAGCACAGCTTGCTGTTCACTGTTTCCCTCTAATTATCATTTTGTGCAGGTTTACCCTGGTGGATGGACAGCAATCCTTATCTCACTTGATAACGTTGGAGTATGGAACCTTAGGGTGGAGAACCTGGATAGATGGTATCTAGGCCAAGAGACTTACATGAGAATCACCAATCCTGAGGAAAATGGCGACACAGAAATGACTCCACCGGCTAATGTTTTGTATTGTGGTGCCCTTCAGAGCTTGCAAAAGTATATCTGAAACCTTTTCTAAAGGTTCTATTGCTCCTTTCCTGTCTGTCCTAATGGGTGCTTGTTTGTATTTGCAGGGAATCACAAAGCTCTTCTGCAAAGACATTGTGCAGTGGGAACTCCAAGTTGTTTCTCATTTTGGTGGTCACAATTTTGGCTTCAATTTTCACTTTTAGCTGAATGCTTCTGCCGATTGTAGGAAGCTGATAATATAGAGGCATCGTTATTTTTTTTGTTGGAGGGATGTGTGCCTGTAAACAGTTATTTGTATGAGAAAAATTGATACTTAGATTAGGAGTGCAAGTTCCCTCATTACACACTTTTTTGGTGTTAAAAACTTTTTCTTTTCCCTTTGGATATCCGCCCTGTTGTAATTTAGGTCACTGGGAATCCATCATTTCTTATGTACTTCAATTCACATTCTGATGATGCCTAACCCATTTTCAATATCATTGGACGTCATGCTTGAATTTATTGTATCTTTCTTTGTTAAAATTTTTTGCTTTCAATGCATCCTGAATTGATTTATTGATTAGAAGGCCCCTTGATGTTTTATAAACAGTGCTACTATTTGATTTAAAAATGATTAGAACGATGCTATTGAATATTATTCCATGTGATAATATGATTAGGTTTTGGGCAGACATACCCCCCATTCATATTATTTGTCGTTCTGTCTTGATGCTGTAATCAAGCAGGATCCATATAAAGAGGAATTTGTTTTCTTAATAGAAGATTAAGGTACTTATGATGATTGATTTTAACTGTGGTCTATTGAACATGCCTTTAATCGTGGAGTGGTGGCATCATACTCTTCACTTGGGATTTTTACCGAATGGATTAACCAACGACTTTTACTAAAAGTGCCCCACCAAAGTAACTTTTAAATGGATTTTGGGATTATGAGGATTAAGGAGATTCTTCCGACCACTAATTAAGAGCAAAATCTAGTAAATGGGATTCTCTGTTGTGGATAACAGGGTATCCGACAGTAATCGGATAGCAAATAATTAATGTCCCAGGCATCATAAAGCGACCCGTGTCCGATTTCCGGTTCAAAAATGTCTTTCCTGTGATGCCCTTGCCTGCTATTTGAGGACCTTGGGCATTTGTGAAGGTTTTAAAACTTTTCTTCCCTTTCTCCCACAGGGCAATTTTTTTCTGGATCCAGGGCCAATATGCAGCGGAGAAGCATAAACTTAAGCTCCGTTGGATCCTGAGCTTCTGATCTTTGCTGAGCTTCACAAACAATGGGGACCCATAATTGAAGGAAACATCAATAAAATAACTAAGTCAATGGTTGCTTTCTTCGTGGCTCCGAAACATTCATTATTACATTGATAAATTAATTTAATGATTCTCTTCCTTGACAGTCTTTCTAATTTTTTTGCTTTTAAAAATTATATATAAATTCTTTTTCATCCTTACCTTCTCCGGAGAATATCTTAATGGAGATTTTATTATCCTCTCATGGTGGAGGGAGAGAAGAAGTGGCTTTAAAGTTTAAACCGGATAATTTCTTTTTGCAATGTACTATTACAGAATCAACGACAGGCAATTTACAGGTTCAAACAGATGAAATAATTGTAGGGTTGTTGAGGGAAAACAAATTAATCCTTCACATTCTATTAAGCATAGATGGTTAAGTTAACCAACCAAAAAAATAATGGCAACTTAATGATTTTTTGTACTCCTTCACCCCGAAGTGGTCCTATAGTTTCCCAGCATATACCCCAAGTGGTCTCCTAATCCTTCATAGTTGTTGGGATCTCAGTGCTTGATAGCCTACTTAAATTAAACAGAAGTCAAGCTTACTAGTCCAAGATCTCCTTAGTTACCTCTCAGTACACTCTTGAAGCAGTTTTTGGGTCCAAATGCTCCCTGGTGGGACAAGATAGGTTGGGAAAACACTTTCAATTAATAAAGCAGATGGAAGTGATAAGTTCTTGGGTGAAAATTGAACAAACTTAGTCTTTAAGTAGCTTTTCCCGAAAAGAAGAGTAGCTTGCCTTAATGCTTCCATCTTCCAGATAGAAGTATGCTGGTACTTAATTATACTTATTTCCAGACCCAAAAGATTATACTCAATGCATGTACGCAGTGTTTATGATTCTCGCATGCAATAGATCAAGGGACTAAGTAGGGTTTCGAAGCTGGCCAGAAATAATAGTGATAAGAAGCAGTATAGCAGAGAAAAGGTTTGGTGGGGAAAGGTTTTTGGAAGTTTTGGATATGTAGGGAGAAAGATGGGACATAATATCAGTCACATGGACTTTGTTTTTAAATGGTTCCTAAATGATGCTTTCTTTCCTTCTTTCACAAACAACATATTAAGATAACCTTAATTATTCCTTCTTTTAGTATGTGCTCTCCTTTATTTGTTTCATGCGTATGGGCACACCCATTTGACTTTGCACAGACCCTGTCTCTGATTTGGTTGATTTTAGCAGCCAAAGCCCTCAGTTTGAAAGAAGGAAATGTGCACCACAAAATAGTCAATGAGAACAGCAGACTCTTCCAGTATGTTTTT